TAGAAGTTCGCCAGAATAAGATGTAAAACGCTTGAGCTACAAGATGCACAAGTCGAGGAGGCTTCGAAATTACAAAGCCGAAGCAAAAGCAAAAGCATTGAATTAGAACTACAGCTTACACAGATTCATAACAATTTCATGTAAATTGGAAGGTATCATTACAGTTTCATGTCAAGCTGATTCGACATGCAATTGGCAACCACATTGATACCAATCAGAAGTTAATGCACAGACTTGTACATGGAGATTTCGACAAGGACAAAGGGAGTGGTGGGCTCAGACGCTTTCATTGTAAGAGCAAAGAACATATGCCTTTAGGTGAGACTTAGGCTCGCATACTTGAAGGTTGAACGAAATAGTAAGAACACAGATTGATCTAAATAGGAAAACCAAAAACACAAAAAACCTTGAGAAACCCAATAATAATCTAGGAAAAGCAAAAAAAAACATAAAACCTTGGGAAAACAAAAGAAACAATTCTGGGGAAGTCTTGAGGAAAGGGGGGGGTCCAGCCAAGAGTCTCTAAGAATCGTCTTTTGTTTTCTCAAGTTTTTGTATTTTTTTGTAAATGTGTTTTTATATGTTTTTTTGTGTTTTCAATGTGTTTTTTTCTCTATATTTTCTCGAGACTGTTTGTGTTTGTTTTCCAGTGCAAAGGACATTGAGGCAGCTTTCACAAACACATAGCATGAATGCAGGCCACAGTGGGAAGCTTATAGCACATAGATGGAAGTAGGCAGCAAAAACACATAAAATACGCACTCTGGTGGTCCCCTGTTCTGTTTTCATTAGAGTCATTGGAGGGTGTTCAAGCTAGACATGTAGTCGTGCTTAAATTTGTTTAGTGACTTTAGTGACTGTGCTGGACATTGCGCCAGTCAAGTGTGTGATGACCTTGCTTTGCTGCCAGGTGCTTGCAAAGCTACATACAACCATGAGGGCTGTGCCACCATTGGAGCAAGACAACCTGCATCTCAGGAGCCTGAGATTTGTGCAGTATGCGCTGTTCAAAGCCTCATATGGCTAACGCGTGAGAACATGCCATACCTATTGTTCAAAGTGCTGGATACAAAGAAAAGCGCAGAACACTCAAAGGAGATTGCATGTCGGCCGGCATGCATGCGAGACTGGCTTTCCACTGTTCTGCTTGAAAAGTGTCCTGAGCCCGAGAACATCACAAGTGCAGAGTGTTTAGCCATCTTGGAATCTATTGCAGCCATGCTTGACTGCGACATAGCCGAGATTGAGAGCAGGCATGCCCAGACAATATGCTGGTTGGCTAGGGCCGCTATATCTTGAATCAGTTGCTTGCCGGTTCCTCTGTAGACTGCACGGCGAAACTCAGAAACAAAGGAGCATTCACAGGGTGAATCCCAAAAAGAAAGCACGTCGAGAAGGAGGAGGAGGAGGAGGAGCATGGAGAGCATTTATTCATGTGAAGTGCAAAGGTCAACAGCTTGCAGCAAACGGGATGCAGGAGCTGGCTGCTGAGTACCGTCAACTGCCTCCTTGCCAGAAAGAACGATTCAAGAAGATTGGGGAGGCTGCGGCTTTCACTCATCGACATGGATATGCATTATTCGGGGTGGCTTCTGCCCCCCTTCAGCCCTACCAGGTCAGGGTGGGTTTTGATTCTATACTTGGGTTCAACTTTGATTCCAATGATTCCAAATTACTATGCATTTGTGCATTTGGTGTACATACTAAATACTAGATTTACTAAATATTGGGTACTTTCCATCGCTATCCTGCATGTTGCTCACCAGTCAGTTGAATGGTCAGGAGTCAGGAGATATGGTTGGTGATGCAATTGTGGCACAAGTTGATGAGGGGGCAGTACCAAGAGTTTCTGCAGAGTCCTCTGTGTGTCTACCTGTTACCTTGCAGGCTTTGTTGCCATCTTCACCCGTTGAAGAGCTCAAGGCTGCAATGCCTTGCTTCAAGCGCTTTAAGGAGTTGAGCAAAGGGGAAGGGTAGGTGCAACTCCTGGAATCCTATTCTCAAATCATCTCCAACGGTGTCTTCATGCGGACAACCTTGAACAAGTTGGAGCACCTGGGAAAGTCAGTTCAGGACAGGTTGCAGGAGGACAAGCAGAAGAACTACTTACTACTTGGTTTCTTGCACCGATCTCCCAAGAAGCTGCGTGAGTTGATGAAACCCTTGAAGGGCCAAAAAATTGCTTTGCTGAGAGACATTGGGGATGAGAACCCAATGGTTTCAGACAATCCACGGGTGAAGCTCATCATGGTAAACATGGAAGAACATAAAAAGTGTTTGGCCCTGATGGAAGCCTCCAACTCCTTGTTCGAAGACTTGATTGGCTATCGCGCACACTGAGCCAAATGGCAAATGACATGGAGAAACAATGCCATGGTTTCCATGTCAACGGGGACAAAAACTGGAGGGCTGATGTGCCGAATGATGCATCCTTCTACAAGCTCGTTGATGCCGCATCCCAAGTTAAGCTCGACCCTGCTGGGCTGATGAAGTACCCAGAGGAATTCCTGAAGGCACACTTTCACAATTGCAATTGTGAAGTATGACGTTAGAGGTTTTAAATCGTCCCAGGTTAATTGTTGTTTTGCTGTTTCCTATGGGTCGAGTCGTCTTCTCTAGTTCTTTCATGAAGGAGATGTCTGCAGCAGAGAAGTGGAGCGAATGCTGTTGGGAAGAGGGTGAGATCAATGAGTCCTTCGTGACCATGGATCAGAGTATCAAGGAACTTCTGCAGGGAAAAGTGCGACAGGCAAAGTTGCTGATCACAGAGATCAACATGGTCACAGCAATCAAATCACTTGTCATCGGTGATATGGAAGAGAAAATGATGAAGTCCCTTCGCCAGCAGGTGAAGTTTCTTGATGCCGAGAATCCATATCAACTCGGACACAAGGACATGCACCCAAGCCTGTGGAATACAGCAGTCAATAGCCCTCACTAGCAGCGTCACTGCAGGGACAGTGAACAGGTTTGGAGAACCTATGCAGGGATACTGCAAATATGTATTATTTGCCGGTTCAGTTTCAATCCCCTCGTTTCCTCACTTCCTCCTAAATTGATGCTCAGTGGCCACTTGCTGCAGTGTGATGGTCTATTTCACCTCACTGAGGATATCACCGCTCCTTGAGCTTGCCCTTGCCAGCTCTGAGGAAAAAAATGGGTTGTAGTGTGCTGGTGTGCCACAATGCCACATGCTGTAGAGCTTAGGTGGCGTACAGGAGACACGAAAAGCAAGGCTGGGCCAACATGCAAAGCTTGGTCCCGCAAAAGCCTTTGCTCCAATCTTAACAGCCTAGCTTGAGCTAGGTTCAGCCAGCCAAGGAAACCGACCCAGCAAATAAGAGCAGAAAAACAGCTGCCAGAATAAGAATATAGCAATGAAAGCAACCCAAAGAATAACACCACAACAAAACATAGCAACCACAATAGCCCAAAGAATAACACTACTAAAGAAAACCGGAAACCAAACAGTCAAGGAATTGAGATCAGGAATTGTAAAACATATACAGTATTTGCACTTTCCAGTCTATGGCCAGCTGGGAATCTCATTACTTCAACCATCTCTTCAACCATCTGCTGCATCGATCTGGTGCTGAGGCATTCACCATCGAAGGTCTCCTCAACCGTAAACAAAGCAAGACACAGTAAGCAAAGCAGCAAGCAAGTCAACTAACAAAGCACCTGTCTGCTGGAGGAACACCATCATCAGCATCACGGTTGTGTTGTGCCATGGTAGGAAGTGTAGACTGTAGGGCATTCTTTAGTAACTTTAGTAAGGCAAAGGTTGCGGCTCGGAAAGGCTTGACAAGCTTATAGCCATTCCTCCACTGCTCGAATGATCTCATTCTGCTTCCGGCCACCACATACCAAAGCCCCAGCGCAAGGCCTCAAAATGATGATTCGATGAAACAACAACGCACATACAAAAATGATTCAAAAATGTGTGAAGGCCGATCACAAGTAGCAATACGCCTTCATGCTCTGTGTTCGTAGCATTTCTTGTTTCATTTTGATGTCCCAGCATACGTCCCCGCCATAGCAAACTCAAAGTTGCCTGTCGACACCTTTTTTTCTGCGGCACAATGCACAGGCTCCGAAATCACCCCTGGCTGCATTGATTGTGCCAACAAAGCTAGGTCCCCAAGTAGGTGAGAGCCGGCAGGCGGATGCCGTGAAAGCGCTCGCAGCCAGGGTCAAGAATTGAACCAGAAAAAAATTCAGGGAAATCTTCTACAGTGAAACGTTCGCGTTGTTGTGACCTTCGCGTCGGTTCGGTGGCGTCTGGGGTGTTATGCAATTATTTTTGATATACAAGTGTTGGGCTCTTGACTCTCTTTGCTATGCCTCATCCTGTTGCTATTGGTGCAGTGCTCAATTGTGCTCCATGCATCTCCATGGATTGTTGTCTAATTTGGTCAAGCTTCGACGCATCTCGGACACGGCTGAATTTTTCAGGCTGGTCACGAGTGAAGCGACGCATGCGTCTCTTCGGCAACAGGTCGTCTGTAGACATGGCCTGCCCCTTGTGGGCTCGAAATCGCTCGAGTTCTGAGAGCGGTTCCCCATGTCATCCGTGAAACGCTCGGATGTGACTCTCGGACCCTCTGAGGCCGGCTGTTCTGACAGTCTGAAGTATGATGCTGCCGTATGATGCACCGCATTATGTCTTCTTTTCTTTAGGCCGGTCTTGCGGTGTGTCACCGGCGTTGCGGACAGGCTGTGTCACTTTCACCGGCCTGAGGTCGCCTGAGGTCTCTCTTCAACAGGTCGTGCCAGCCTCAAGATGGATGGACGGAAGGCAACGAAGGTTTGCTGTTTTGCAGCAACGAAGGAAATGCGCATCCTTAGGTTCGCCTCAGCCACTCCAACACATGCCAGTTAATTCCTTTCTTTGTCCACTTCACTAGTCCTACAAAGAGTTCTCAGAATGGGGGAGTCTCCAATTTCCCTCCCACAACCGACAACCCAAACCGCCTGACATCGTAGTGCTTGTCATGTCATCAACTCTCTTGGCATCCTTGCCTGACAATTGCCCATGTGGAGCTCAATGAGGGACACATTTGACATTCATATTCATGCAGGCGGATGTAGACATGATCTTATATATGCCGTTTATATACCATTCAATACTGTTACTGTGAATCTGTTTTCCCGCCCTCTCCATCAACTGGTTGAGCAGCAAAACCAGAAAACTACTGAGAACCAACAAATACTTCAACAACTGCTGAAGCCAAGCCACGAGAAGTGATCCTTGGTGCTCCAAACAAATCAATCAATTGAAAGCTAGCTAGTATTACGCTAAGTTAGTTGGTGTTGAATGATGCCAAGCATGAGGGTTAAAAGACACCAACAACCCATCACAGAACCATTACAGTAATTAACAGCAAAGGCAAAACATGTCCTGAGTTTCGAGAAGTTCCACTCTGGAATGGACATGCTGCAAGCTCAACTGGTTGCAACCAGCAACAGTGGCCAAGGCTCTTGAACCTTCTCCTGCTTCATGACCAGATCCTATGGACGTCACCGGCGCAAGGGATTTGAAAAGAAAGCCAAACCAACAAATCTTGCTTCTCCTAGGGCCACTGCAAGACCCATGTCAGCGTGAGGTTGTTGAACCTAGCGACCTATATAGCGCTTCCAAGCTAAAACCGGTCCTGAATTGTGTATGCTATGCTGGTAAGATCTGAATCGCGGTCGTTGGCTCGACCCCAGTTGCCTCAAGAACCGCAAGCATGCTGAACACAAGCCGGGCACCAGGTGCAACTCTTTTCCCTTGGCTCTATTTGAACATCCTCTTGCCCAGCCCATCCGCCATTGGCAACTACGCAATGGATGATGTTCATAGCTTGCTTGGCCCACTGGCACTATACAGAATGTGCTTTCCACCATGTACATCTCGAATAAAGTGTTTTTATGTTATATGCAATAACAGCATGCACTTCATATCTTCACACGTAGACAAGCACAAAACGACGATAGGCAGCAACCTTGAGAATTCGAAGACAAGGGTCTTATCCAAGTATGCTAAACTCTTCAATTACTGTCAAAATCTATCAAGTATTGGGGCATGCAGTGTAGGCCTTTCGATATGCCCTTCGGAAGGCAAGAGGAGAACTATTAAACAACAACATTGGCTGGATGCTCATCATTTTCGATCATGTTTAATGACCAAACGCTTGATGGCCAAACGCGTCCATCTTAAACTGTTGCTTGTGTGTCGGCGAGCGACCACCAGTCATCTCCACACGCACTCTCCTGTGCAACCACTCAGGTCAAAACATAAAAGAAAAACAGGGCACCTGGCCGTCCTCATATGGCCTGCTCCAGTGTGCTAGATTGATAGCACCATTTCAACTCACACACGGAGTGAATGCGGTTACTCTTCTCATACTTTGCTCCATGCCATGTCCCTTGACAAGTGCAAACTAGCAGGCTCTTTCTTGAGCCTCATCGTGAAAAGCCATTCAACTCATGCCAGCATCCAAAGCACGACCTACTTCACTGTGAGGCAAGGGTCTGTTGAGCAAACTTCAGCTGGCACCGGGAGATGCAAGTGGTGAACACAAAGCGATTCCGCACAGCTGAGATGAACTCCCCCATGTCCGACAGGTCCACCGGCAACAACTGCGGGAGGCGAGGAAAAGAGGCGTGGCCACATTGGGATCGACTGGATTGAAACTATCACAGATATGTGGAGAAATGTCAATGTCTAACACATTCTAACATTATGCAGTAGGTGGCTGACGTTCAACGCTGAATTGATCAAAAACGATGTCGTGTCGCACTGCCTCCATGCTGTTAAAACATTTCACTTTCGATGCTATTATCATGAGACATGGCATGAGCTTGACAATGACTGGCGACAGTGGATCTGATTGTTGCAAAATGAATGTCAATCTTTACATCTTTGATCTTTGTTGTAGTAGTCCTCGCACTTGGAAAAGGCAAAGAAAGCGAGCGCACTTCGACTGCCATGTTCAAACCACTGGTCAATACTCTGAGCACTGTTGTTGCCAACTAGGCTCAAGGAAAAAAAAGATTTCAAAACATGTCACTCAAGTGCCCTCCCTTCTGAATCTCGCATCCTTGCATATCCTTGCCTTTGGCTGCTTTGGCATAGTTGCCACCTGCACTTCAATAGAAGGTGAATGCTGAATGATGATTAAAAACAATGCTTGCGTGAATGATGCCAAGCAAGGGCCAGTCCGTGCTCGGCACCAGTGGCCTTGGTTCGCAGGGTTGCCAGCAGGTCGGTGAGGACATCGAGCAGGCAGGTGAGACCAATCAATGGGTTGGCCTCCGGCTCTACACGGCGCACGGGGCACGGAACACGGCGCTCTACGTGGCATGGAGTTCAATGGAGTTCATCCAAGGCAATAAACGCCTACAATGGCCGCCATACAAACGCCATACACGATGCCACACGTGGCCGGCAGCTTTCGGGGCACATCAAAAGGATAAAGTGTTTCATGTGAGACAAACGTTGAAGACATGTTAAATTTTAAGCTTAATGATAGAACAATAACATGTGATTTTAACCTAAAGTTAAGCCCACTCCCTAAGTAAACATGTCGTGAGCATCAGGCTTCAAAATGAAGTTGACGTCAGTTCACAATCTGTTGAGGCTGCCAAAATAAGGATCAGCATGACCAAGCTACTGTAAACTGATGTAATTAATCAATAAATCTTTATAATATGTTGTCTTATTTGTCTTTCTGGGACGTGCGATACATCTTGACCGCGTTGGGTGCTGCCGCCTTGGCGTTGGCGACACAATTGGGCAGAAACTCCAGCACGAAGGCCAGCTCCTGAGCAATAAAAACGCCCGTTCAGGTAGGGAGCCAATTTCCAAAAGCATGTTAGAGGTTTGATGTTGAGCTCAAACGTGCCCGCCTTGGCAAAACCTTGAAATCCCAACCTGTAGAATCTGTAGTAGCATAAAAGGATGTCCATGCGCTTGCTGCTCTTTGTGAACTTATAATTACGAGTGACAGGCAACAGTTTCAGGGACGTTCTGAACAAATCAGTTTCCATGTTCTTTCGATTTCTTTCGTGCAAAATGCACTTGAGGACATTGAAGGAACATCATTTGGGCCATTGTCCAGGTCCTCCACACCGTCTGCCAGGAAGTGGTCGGTCAAGGAGGTACGCTCGCGTTTGCCCAAACCCAGCCAAGCAAAGCGCAAGGATTCATAGCCTTTCTGGTCCTGATGCGCCAGGCTTGCCAGGCATTCAGAACGAAGCGATCTGCCCCTGGAAGCGAATGGTTGACGTTTTTTATCTTTTGATCTGTCGCGTTTTAGTGGCTGGGTGCAGTATTGGTGGCAGCGAGTTTAATGCAATTAAAAGGTTCAAGGGTGACACGGCCACCTCTCAGATGGACATTGGACAAAGGCCCATGTCGTTAGTCTCATCACAACGCAATTCACCAAGTTAGGGCCTAGGGAAACACTATGAGGACCAAAAGAGCAATTGAAATGCCAACCATTTCATTCAGCAGCTAAGTCAGTTGGATGGATCGACCACAGCTCCTGAACTCGTGCCAGACAAGCCAGGCGCACCAGCACTAAGTCCTGCAGTCGAAGGTGGGGCTGAGAGCTCATGTTCAGCATGGACTGTCATACTTTGATGGCTAAAAGGCTAAAAGGTCGGGCAAATACTCACCCAGGTCTTAGAGTCTTAGAGGCATTCAGCTTCCAGTGAAGATTGGTTTACCACTCTTTGGCACCTCTCTCACCAAGCCGCTTGAGGCTTGCGAATACGGCCACACACACAAACACCCAAGCACATCCCAATAAATACAAAGAAACCACCGCTGATCAAACAGAAAATCAATCACCAAGCGATGAACTAAATGAACGGACTTGCTCATCCACGGAATCTCTGCAGACTTGCTCTTGAAGAAAGGGGTGCTAACGCCAGGGTGGTTGCAAAGCCACGCGTTCTCCGACGCGTCGACCACGCGTCGCGTCGCGTCGACCGCCTCGGGACTGTTGAAGGGCAGCATCAGTTTCTCCGCTCTTAGGGCCAAGTAGCCCCAATAGATCGCCTCGGCACGGCGAATGTGAACGAGTGAAGAAAAGAGGTGATCGTATGAACGGTGACCCTTCAAAACCTCCAACAATTCTAAGAGAATGGACCAATAATTATGGGCCAGAATGGATGTTTCTAGCGTGTTCTGACGACTTTCAATTAACCCTTCGCCTGCACATACTGGGCTGCCCGTAGGCTTGCCTGGTCATGTCCGACGTTTGCGGACCGGACTCCAGTGTGCAATCGGCAGAAAGCACCACTCCGTGCTACCGAGGATCTGTAGCATTCACAGTCATGAGCTTTTGGAGGACTCGGATCCCACCAATCGTGGCATCCGCATTCTTGGCGTTCATGAAACGGGACCCTTGCCCCGCAGCCAAGCCGCTCATGAAGCCCAGCAAAAAAAGGATGTAGAAGCGGAAAATTGCATCACCTGCCACACGCTCACACGCTTGAACAAAGGCCTGCTCCCCCAACTCACTCTCTCTCTCTCTGGCGTGTCCATGTGTTCCTATCCCTGGGACTGTATCAGTGAACCCTGAAGACAGGAGTTGTGCAAGGCAAAGCAATTATCGCCCTAGAAATTTCTGCAATGGCCTCCTGATCAAGATATCAAACATATCATCTGTACCTTATACTACCAGGTTTCTTTTGTCATCAGTCGTGCCTTTCTGCTCGATGTGTACCCGCAGCTCCTTGACATTGCCCGGGGAATTCTCCCCTTGGAGCATCTGCGCTAAGTTGAAAAGCTCGTGAGTGATCAAAGCTTCTTCGAAGAGTTGGACGCCCCGTTCGCTCAGCCAGCGGATTGAAGGCACCACATTCTGGCGACCTAGGTGGAATGCTCTACCGAAATGGGACGGTGGGGTGCTGGTCCATATCGTCATCAACTCACAAAAGGAAAACACACACACAAATGATCTAAGCACTGCGAGGTAGTGTCCCCTCTCCCGAATCAAAAAAAGTGGCACACATGTACGGTGACATATATGGTGGTTGATCAATATTCTTTCATCCTGGAATGGCCATTCATCGCGGAAAAAAAGATATCTTTCGCGGATCTTTCGCGGCCTCATCGCGAAGCATGGTCCTACAACCATGTCTAGCCAACAGGAGCCGGAACATGTCATAGTATCACAAAATAGGGAGAGACATCTTGCAGCATGACCCCAGTAGATGGTTGAACGTTTCCACAGCTACTCAGGGTCACTTGCAGCATCTGTTCGACAATTGTGCCAAATAGAGTCAGGCACAACTCAACCCAATCCTCGTGCCAGCTACCAACACAGGGTGATACAGCTTGGGGAATGTTGGGGGGGCCTCAAGCTGGGAACCTAGACTTTAGCGGCACATTCGCGAAACTTTCGCGGATCTTTCGCGAAATTTCACTGGTGCTTTCCCCGGGAAGCCGTAACATTTGCAAACATCTGCGCAGCCCGTCAGAGCAGCTGCAGGTCGTTGCCTCACTGTCAGGGCTGTGCCTACCCAGATTGCTAGCCTGTGACAGTGGGGACAGGAATCGGAGAATCCTTTACGCACTGCCAGGGCTCGGCACGGAAATGTTGAGGCTTCAGTTCGTTAGTCTGTGACATATGGGGACACTTCCGCCCACTGGCTCTGCCGGAGGATTGCCTTGCGTTTCTATTCTTTGTCAGTCCGGTAGAAAGGAAAACAATGAAAGCGATGACCTTCGATAAATCTTTCGCGGAAAAAAAAGATACTTTCGCGAACCTCATCGCGAATCTTTCGCGGATGGTTCTAACAACATCTGAAAGGCTGTTTTATATAAAACTCCTTACACGGGGTTTTCGATCAACTCCCATATATATATATATATACATTTAATTTGTGTACACACAGTATATAGTATATATAAATGTACTTACACAATTTATCTAGTCTGAAGAAGTTTCATTGCGGTCAGCTGCTTCAACTCCTGGCTCCCAAAAGGCCTCTTGAACCGCTCCTGGCACACCGCGCCCCCCTTTTAGCTTCTCCAGCTCTTCCCGTTCCTGATGTCTTTCAGCAACTTCCTGACATTGTCAACTGTTGCTCGGTCGCCGTCCGGCCGTGGGGCCGAAGACATTGACATGCGTCGCCGCTTGGCGTCTCGCGAGTCCTCGCGGTCAGCGCCGTCCGGGTTCATCTTCGCCTGGACCTCGGGCAAGTCCTTCTCAATCTGCAAAATGGTGTCCTGGTTGGCGACTTAAACCCGAAGTTCCGAAGATTGGTCCAACTAATTTGATTCAACTAGGGAATGGACAGTAAAAACAGAGTTAAATATTCCAAACCACCGAGAGTCAGTATCAGGATAAAATGTCAACAACTCCTGAAAGTCTGTCAAACTTGCGTTCATGTAGATCATTTGCATGGCGGCACTCCAACGTCGTGTCGGACGAATCTCTGTGCCATAAATCTCACCCAATGGCCTTTTCGCCACTTCCTTCTGTAAATCGGGGTCTCTTTCCATATTTCGCAGCATGTGGAACATATTCTCAAAGTTTCCATATTTCGCAGCATCCAGGAACTGGTGCTGCAGTTCCTGCCGCATCTTTATAGATGAACGCTGATCTTTGAGCGTGGCTTGGATGTCATCTATGGACGTGGAGCCTGCCTCAAGCGTGAAGCCTGCCAACAGGGCAGCACCTTCAGCTACTTGGGTTCTCTCCTCCACTGTAGCTGTCGTCACACTGGCCGCCGCAGCCTCAACATTTCCCTGTCGCACATCACGAAGAAGTTCATCCATGAATAGAGAACCATCAGGGCCCTGACCAGGCAATACAGCATCTCTGGATTTGTCCTCTGCATGACCAATGCGAAACTCCACGCCTTGCTTCGCAATGCTTTTCTCGTAGTTTTCGACGCTGTGGTGCGACATTGTAATGTCCCCAATGCGGAATCGACAAAGCCAGTCATTTGGCGAAGCCCTTTCGTCTCTCTCTTGAACATACAAAATCTGGGCGACATGGCGAAAGTCCTGAACACGATCCTGGATTGGTTTCAGCCACTCCTCCACCTTCACCAAAGTTTGCAACAACGTCTTGGACAAGTCCTTGGCACCTTGAATTGGTGCGAGTCCAACTGCCAGCCCTGTTGCCAAACAATCCATCAGGGGAAAAAACTTGGTCAGGCACAGCACGACTGACTGCACGGCAAAGGCTCCCACCACCCCGCCGGCGACACGTGCGGCACTGGCCAGCAGTCGCTGGCCATCTTGCAACATCTTCACCAGCACGGCCCAACCATAAAAACGGGGAAAGGGATCTTGTCGAAAGACATAGTTCACAGTGTTCCAATGGAACTTCTTCACAATCTCAGGCGTAGCTCCCTTCCAGCACACAACAGATGGAGATGCAAAACTCATGCAATACATGCTCACAGTTTCATTCTGAAGCCAAGCAAGCTTTAGGGGCCAAGATTGCCTTTCTCGGCTCGACTCCAAAAACATAAACAAGAGCTGAGCTAATGCTCCACCGCGGGAATGGCCTGTCAAGACCAATTTCCACTCTTTCCCTTGCAGCTGGTGCGTGTCTGCAAACTTGCTGAGGTGGTCTCCTAACATGTCCATATTTTGCCCCAGGCCATTCCAAAAGCCCATGTGAATTCCTGAAAAGTCCTTCTTGAAAGCCTTGTAGAGCTCGCCTTTAGGCACATCCACAGAAAACTTGAGGTTTGAGATCCAGTCAGAGAAATGTACAGTGCCACAAAAGGCCACAAAGACTGTAGGCTTGTCCAGAACACAGAGTCTGAGCCCGTAATGCATGTTCGAATTGACGGTGTCACCCCTCACCTCCACCGTATGGAGGTCTTGCAATTCGAATGCGAGGGTCTTTTTGTCGGACGTGTACATTATGGAGCTGCTCTTCACCGCTTCCGCTTCCAGCTCGGGCTTGACCCAGGAAAGCCTTTCGGGCCGAGGCTCCACGTGCACCTCCTCGATCAAATCCCGCAACTTTTGGACTGCCTCCCGTTGGTTGGTGTAGTCTTCTTGCGTGTTCCCATCAAAGATGATGGTGATCTGGCGGTCACCTTGCGACTGGTGTTTCTGGATGTCTTCTATCAAGCTTTTGAGATTCATACTCTTGCTCCAGCGTAGTGATTTTGTCCAGGCTGACTTTAACTCAGTCCAGGTCCATGCCCCGTTTCGAACCATGGCTGGGAAAACTAAGCGGTAGAATTAATGCACCCACCTTGAGCCAAACTTCAGTCACGCATTCCAATGAAATATGGTCAAAACATCTTGTGTAAGCCAGCCAATGGCTTGCTTCATGTTCATAGTCAACACAGGCTGTGTGTCTGTGTCTGTGTTTTTGCTTCGTCACTGCAAAAAGCAGCAAGGACTCGGACCTCCATCTACAGAAAAGCAACACCACCCACGCGCAACACCACCCCACGGCGTCTGACTGATTCGTCTCTCAGTGACTTTGGCTCAGGTGGATCACGCCGCGCTCCGGTCGCCGCATCTCGGCGGGCAGCTGCTGCATCACCGTCTTGGACTTCCCCAGCCCCCGGATGGCCAGCAGCACCTGGACAGAAGCGGACGCAGAGCTGTCGGAGCTATCGGTAATTATGACTCGGTTCATTAGACATGTATAGACCAAGTAGCAGGGCCGTTCACTCTACATGTATAGTGTGAACGCAAGAGCCTTTCCGCAACTCCAATAAACTGTGAGCAGTGGTAAATCTCCAGGAATTGGTTGACGCTCCCAAAGAACCCCCTGCGAAATCTGAGTCCAAACGAGCCGAGCTCACAAGAACGGCATGGACTTCTTCTGGCTCTGGCTCCTAGCTGGGCAGTCGACCCGGGCACGAGAGAGTTCACTGAGTCGAGTCACCGACCCGACCGGGCGAGTCTTTCGAGGCGTTCACCAGGGGGACATCGGGTTGAACCATGAGGCAACTGGGTGAAATTCGGTCAACTTTACTCCATGCAACATTCCAGGATTCCAGGGGTGTTTCCTGATGTTTCCTGAGAAATCCCTTTGTATCCTGAAAGGCCTCAAGAGATACTTACCAGAAAGAAAGCAACTGAAACATGTTTCTAAAGCAAATCGAGGGTCAATCCAGGAGATGATCTGCTGAAGTTCTAGCCATTGTGACTCGAGCAGCTTCACGCTATCTGCCTGGGGCTGGGTGAAAAGCTCATACCTGCCCCCCACCAGGGCCAGCACACTGATGCAGGAGGATTCACCTCGGTCTCTTTCAGCAGGTTGGCTGAAGACCACATGCGTTCCAGTCGTCGGATCAAGCTCAGGTATCATTTGCTGGAGAGCCTGTGGCAATTGAGATGCATCACAATCCTGAGGATGCATGGATGGCAATGAAACAAAGAACCGGACCTATTGACAACACAGGCATTCCACTTGGCACATGTAGAAATTGTCTTAGGCTTTTCCAAACTAGGAAGCACCTCCAACACTCAACCAACAGCAGTGTGGGTTCTTGACTAAACCAACTCCATCTTCATTCACCATGATTGTTGACTACGACGCGGCAAAAGCCATCGGTCCTTGTCGCTGCTCATCCACGCATCCACGAAGGCCCTCAAACCCTGGTCTTCCAGGATCTCCACTCTCCGGCTGAGCTGTGTGGTACCGCTGCTTCCATCCGATAAACGTGACAGGACCTGGGTGGGTGGTTACTCATGAAAGAGCCATTGCATGGTGTGCCCCCAGAAGAGAGATGATGAGATGATGACCTTAAAAGCCGACTCAATGCTGTCAGGACGACTAGGCTAATGCAATTCAGCAGCTGATTCATAGGTGTTCGAGCTGCGCATATCTGGTTTTGACGTGCAAGGTACCTCTACCGCCCCAGGTGAGGAGGGCGCCTCTGACTTGGCTTCTTCTACGACGGACGGTGGCGGAGCTTCGCCACAAATGATGATGTTGGCAAACAGGGTCTTTGGGTCAGGATATGCGGCCTCGTTGGGTGACAATAAGCTGGTGCTCCAGCAGCCAAAATGAACAGTTTTGAGCATGTGTCTGGACATTATACTACAAACTTTAGTGAAGCAGCTTTTGGCTTTCACATTAGATTGGACCTGATCCTGCCTGGAAGTGCTGGTTCTGCTTACAGCAATTTTCCGCTTGCGCATGTTGATCGTCATCTCCAAATTTGCTCTGCGTCTTCTGCATAGCTGCCAAAAAGTCTTTGGCATACCTGCGAATTACCACAGGCACGTTCAGAAGCGTTTGCGCTGCAAACAAGAACGTCCTGCCGAGTGGCTCGCAGAACATCCCGCTGCAGCCCCGGTTACTCTTTGATGCAGTCCACCAAGTCTTGGCTTTGCAAGGAGAAGGTCTCACCAAAGGACAGTGGCGTCAAGGTGGATTCGTGCCAAACTGGATCGCAGTAGAGACCTTGGCTTCGCGTCTCGGGTGTGTCGCACGTTTGGGAGATCCGTCGGATCGAACTCACGAGGTCCCATTCTGGCTACGTTCGTAGCTTCTTGTTGCTAGTAGTATGGACAGGAGCTACATTCGTAGCGTCCTTGCTCCTAGTGCCCTTTGCTACATTCGT